CTTGCCGCTAGGCCTAAAATAATATAGTATAGTATGATTCAGGGAGAACACAAGATACACGTATATGAGCACTGCAGTACATATAGGTATGCGCGCGCATAATTACATCTCGATATCTTAGAAATCGGCTGTCTTAAACATGTACGAAAGTACGGATACCTGTAAGCCTGCATGTGTACATGTACTCCATACATAACGGAAGAAGAAGGTGTACATACGTCATACGTGTGCCCAGCATCACCCGCCTCATCGCCCGTCTTGCCCTTGGCGAGAGTAAATGCTGACTTGGCCATCGTAGCGTTTGCCGCATTCAAGTTGTTTCGCCTGAGCAAGTGCCCGGTCATGCACTGCCAGCCAGGTTCGTCAAACCTGGACATGCATGCTGCCTTCTCTATCCCACGCCTTCTGTCAACCAGATACTACACCACACTTCACCCCTGGACGCGTTTTGCAATGAGCCACGTCAAGCCGCCTGTTCAACAATCGCGTGTTGACCACTTCCTGCAGGCTTTGCCTCAGACAAGCGGACATGACCGGCTTCGCGCTGCTCTCAAGTCTTGTCGGCTTTGGCCCCGGGCCTTCTCCCAGCCTTTTGAACTGCTTCCTCCTCATGACATGCATAATCATGCATATTAGCTTGCATCTATGTGTGTGCATCTGTGTGTGCATCTGTGTGTATGTACTTTTGGCTGGCCACAAATGCAACTTGCCTCCATGTCGCCGGTCGCACTGGAGCTTGCCATCACCTTCAAGAAGCTGGAAACCACCACTGACTTGCCAAGACCTGTCATCTTGCAACCGCACCTCACGTCACGCCAAACGTCAATCGGCTGCCATGCGCAGTCTCACGCAAACATACGAGAAACTTCCAGCATCCGTATTGCCATGACGGTGCTTGTACTTGGCGTTGTAGGAAAACCCCGCTCCTGTTTGCTCGAACCCGACATGTTGACATTTCCTTTTTTCCTATTGTCGTGTCTCCAAGCTTTGGACATTATCGCTTGGTCATCGGTCGGTTCCCTCTCATCGCTCTTTGAACTACACCCACATTCTGCACCTGGCAACGCGCAAGGACATAATCCTCTGGCGCAGGGCTACTATACAAATCCTTTTGTTTCAGGACACGTGCAAGCTCTGCGAACATCCTACAGCGCTTTAGCCAGAACAGCTGCAAAGGGTCAACGACTGGAAGGCGGCAGGAAGCTCAAAGCGCAAAGTCAGCGTTGACACAGCTGTTAACAGAGTGAAGAAGCTGATGCCTCCACAACATCGTCGGGCTCCAATGCATTGCTCAGCTCCTGACAGGAGCCCAAAAGGAACAAAAAGTGACTCAACCCATCTTATGCCGGACCATCCCTCAGTGCCACACTTTGATCTGAGTGCGAATTTGGATGGCCCCTTCGAAGTCATCTTTGGCAACTGCTTCCTGGCAGGAGCCGATACTCCCTCTTTCTATTCTCTAGACATCTTGCCGACATGTGGAGCCTTTTTCTTCTCCTCCGCCATCTGCAGGCGATTGAGAACGTCGCCATTTGCCTGGCCCACTCCCATACACTTGTAGAGATCGATATCGAAGCGTAAGAACTTGATGACTACATGAGTTGATGGGCGAACCCAGGATTGTGTCTTGAGATATTGCACTGCGAAGCGAATGCTGCAGCAAAGAACCTCTCAAGAAGTTGTTGCGCGGACAAAACGGCACAAGCGCATGGCAGGACGGAATGCCTTTTCATTTTTAGCCAACTGAAAATTATTCACGCAGCTTTCTGCGCATCATTGCGTGATGTTGCCTGGCATGACTCGTTCGTGGCGGTCAAGCTAAGGTCAAAGGTCCCTTGTGTACGACTATGTGTTCCTCTAAGGTCGTGCTTCCAGGATGTGTGGAGCGTACCATGCCCATGTTGGATTTGAAGTTGAAGGTAGAAGGTTTCTCCAAGAGATCAGGCAGAGCGTGCACTGCCAGGCATACTTCTGCGTGCAGAAAAAACCTCGCGCGTAAACAGCGCAAAGACAAAAAAGCCCTGCGCATCCCTGCGGTGCCTTGCAACGCAGCGCCTCTTCAAATCGGCCCAGGCTGCAAAGGCTCCGCACCAGACTGTCAGCCTGGCAAGGGAAAGGAGCTTCGAAGGGTAAAACCGAGGATGAAGAATTCTTTGGATTCAGATGGATCGGCCCAAGGCTACCGCAGTCTGGTCAAGCCACCAATAAATAGTGCGTGTGATTCCCCAAAGCTACGGCTGCGTCTGATGTAATGCTTGAGTTTTGGGCAGCTCGCACTGGGGAAAATTTTGAAAGCAAGACAGGGCACCCAGAACGTTCTATGTAAGTCTACGGAGGTCCGGGGCTTCAATGGTGAATTTCATTCTGTCGCTTCAGTCACCTCTGGATCTCCTCGCCCATCCAGGTCCTCAACAGAACAGCTTAGGAACCTGCCGTGCGCGTTGTTTAAACCTTGATCGCTGTCCTCTTTTGCACCGAAGTCTTTGCCGATGCCTTGCGCGAGCGCAACCGATGCAATGGCCTTCTCACTGTAGTGGCCGAAGCCGAGGAGACAGCCAGTTGGGCTGATTGGCATGCGCTGGGCTGACCTGAACTCAAGCAAAAATGTGGCCTCCTTGCGCAAAGATGAATGAGCATCAAGAGTGTGGCTTATTGTCGGCCGTAGCATCAAGCCCGGTAGCCTGCGTTAGTAAGAGGCAGTTGGCATGACTGTGGCACACAGCCGCGAGGCGCCTCTGCAAGCGCAGGAGGCCCTGATGTGAAATCGTTGAAGACGTCCATCATCTTAGCAAGATGGGAGGCGAACGTGGCTTCCGGTAACTATGCAGGGATAGAAACTCACTCCGTAATACTGGAGCCTGGAGAGGAGGACCTGCTATTATTTACGTCCCCACTCAAAGCTTTGAATATCATTGCTTCCGAGGCTATGGAAAGTCTCGCATCATGGTCATGAATGACCAAAAAGGTCTGCTTCATTCTTTGCCAAGGCCAGAAGTCATTGGTCACATCGCTTCCATGGAACACATGCTGCTATAAACAGAATCATATAACATAGGAGTAGTGGCGGCAGTGGTGGTGCTACTGGTTGGAATTCGATTTACTTGACATACTCCGACGACATGTTGAAGCGCGCCTCTGCAGCTGTATCTGCTGGTTTGGATGGCGGTGCACCTGCAGGCGCACAACTAACCCGGGTTGATACTGCTGGTTCGCGAGCTTCAAAAGCAATCCACTGTGCGCACTGGATACGGGATGCATGCCATTCCACTTTTCGCAGATGGAGATAGAAACAGCAGCGTGGGAATCCCTCTGAAGTCTACAGCTTGGACGACATGCAGAATCACTCAAGGTCGGAAGACCGTCAACGCAAATAAAGATATCTTGCCGGCCTCGTGTTGAGGATGTCGACGGCGCTGGGAAATCGAAAGAAGCCCACTCTCCAACACCTTCAAGCTAACACCGAGACACAATTCTGACAGGCACTTGTGCATGTGCCTGAAGGCGAGGAAGGCGAGGGTGCTGGGAAGTCAAAGGAAGCCCATTCTCGGCCAGGGCAAAAAGGGCCACCGAACAGCGCGGCATACACACGATCTTACGTTGACCCTGGAGCTACTGAGCCCTCGTCCTCCTTCACCTGCGTCAGCTTCCCGGCTTTGCCCAGCGCTTTGGGGGCCAGCGACTTGGCCAGAGCCTTGACAAATCGCACATGATTCATACACTGTTTGCCTGTTTGCCCGTTTGCATGTGTCAGGGCCTGCTTCACGTGGCTCGTCCATGGCATTGAAGGCATCCCATTTCTCGGCTGCAGGCTGGCCTAGCACAGTCTCAGCTGCATGCTGCATTGCATTGCGCAATACTTCCCCGCATGTTTGACCGCGACTCTCATCCAGCTCATCGAACGCATCCCACTTTCCCGCAGCTGGTGGACCTGCAGTCCCATGCAACATGCATAGCGAATCGCTCTGCAGAATGCTTTGACTCTTGCATGCCCTGCCTCTGGATGCGGAGGCTGGCTGAGCTGGGAAATCGAAGGACGCCCATTCTGCAAGTAGAGGCCAAGAGAGCGAGCTCAGAAACAAGCTTGCAAAATGCTGCGGGAATCTCAGGCTTTGTCCTCCTCCTCCTTCTTCCCCTGCGCTTTTCGGTGCGGTGCTGGGAGCACCTGCACAAGAATCGCCTCCATCCCCTGTGACACAACAGCTACAAGTAGGAGTTGCACCTGACAAGGCCGTTTCGGACTGCGCCGGCAAGTCGAAGGATGCCCATTCTCAGTCCAGCAGGGTCACGGCTCAACGTGCGGGAAAGGCAAACACGACCTCCGAGATTTGAGCCGTCTTTGCTCTCCGGCTGCACCGATCCAGGGCCTTCACACACAGACTATCCTACCATTGCTCTTGTTGCGCACGGGTTCACATTTGTGACAACGTTGAAGCAAGAGCTTAGTGACGGGTTGCCCTGAGGCCATCACCCATGCTTGGCTCCGTTTGGCCACCCGTGTCCTGAAGGGCATCTGCGCAAGCGCAACATTGTCCCAAAGCCGGCGTGAAGGCAGAAAGCTTGGAAGGCTGCGCTTGCAAGCATTGCATCAGCGAGGGGTGCTGCAGGTGCTGCAGCTGCACCTGAGCAAGGCCTGCATTCACCTTCATAAATTACTCATGTCTTTTACCAAACCTGAGGTGTTGCAGATGTGAGCAGATGCAGCCAGAGCTTGGCCAGGGACTAGCGGTCACCGTGCCAGATGCAGGAGCCTCAGTGATTGCAACTGCCCACACTCACCAAGCGCAACCGACAAACCAAATGCTGCTAAAGCTGCCAGCGCCGCAAATTCGGCAAACACGTCCCCATGCACAGGCTCTTGACTTGCCTGGTCACCTGCGCTGGGGCCACTCTCCAAACACACCGCCGCACGTTGACTTAGTCCGATGATACACAAACGCACAATGAGCCCCCGAACCCAGGGCGCAGAAAACTGTGCGTCTTTTTGATCGAGCGCTGCTTTGGCTGTCTGAAGCTGCAACCTGCCAGGTGCAGACTGCTGGCAGGGCCATGGAGTTCTTTACTCAGCGAAGAATCATGTACAAGATACAAGAACCAGCCTTGAAGATGGACGTTCACGTCACTGAGACCACGCTGGAAACGCCCGCTGAACCCTCCTGGTCGGGACAAGTACTCATTTTCCCTTCGAATCCCAGATTTGTTTGGCATCATTTTCCGGGAATGCCTGGATGGCCAAAAGCTGGCACCTTTACAAGTTCAGGCTCTCAACATGCATGCCCACGGGGGGGCTTTGCAGCCCCGCCGGCTGTCACGCCAAAACCATCCCTATCCTTCTTGAGACGCAGGCAGACTTGAAGTCAATCTTCACTTCTATTCCCGGTCGGCATGGTTGTCCCCAGCAAGCTCGTGGCTGCGGCAACATCTTGTGACAGAGAAGTACAGTCCAATTCCGATCAGGGCCAGCAACATGTTCACTGCATAGTAATACTCCAGGTTGCCAGCGTCTAGATCATCAGGGTACAAAAGCTTGGAGACAATGGCGGTGAAAGCGTTTGAAACTGATCCTGAGAAGAAAAGATTCACAGCTTGAAGCAGGGAGCGAACTTCTGCCGGGGCTGACTCGTAGGAGAAACAATACAAACAGGGATTTACCAGAATCTCTGCAATACCGACTAGGATGTAAGGCAAGAAGATCCAAAAGCCGCTGATGTCACGCATTCTCGTCCCATGCAATCCATCCTCAGTGTATCCAGGCGCGCACTGTGACCAAGCTACGTCACAAAGAACCGGAGCTTGGCGCCTCTTCACTTCAAGCACTGCGGCCGAGAAGTTGGAAGCTGCAGCCACAATAAGTCCAGTCACCATTTTCTGCCCCAATCTCACAGGAGACCCCTTTAACCTTGATATTAGAGGGTAGACAAAGGACTCGAAAATCGGCGTGAAAATCACGATGGCCAGGGCATCCGCGATGTTGAAGAAAGCTCCGTTCAGCTGCCCTCCCCCCAGCCTGACATCCATCTGGCAGGCCTGTGACGGAAACGCATTGTTCATTGAGTTATAGCACAAGCTGAAGGAGAGATTTACAACAACGATGACGGGAATCGATGCAAAAGTTCGTGCGGCTTCCAACTGGTTGAAAGAATTCTTCGACTCATCTCCCAGTTCTTGAACCCAGCAGCAATTAACGTTTGCCACCTCGGTCAGTCAATGTGAATAAGGAGGTCGCGAACAAGACCTAGCAGGTTTTTGGTAAAGCATAACTGAGCTCCGGGCCACGAGGCAG